GAGTAATTCACACAGAGCCAGCTGTGCAGGTGACTGGAGTTTTGTATTTAGTCAAATCAGTCTCTCCAAGAATTTGGGGATTGGAGTTTTTAAGGAAAACTTGGTGGGCAGGGGCTCTGGAGGTATGGATGGCTGATTGGTCAGCATGGAGACGAAATCATAGCAGGTAGAAGTGAGTTTTTCTTGATGTCTTCTGTCACTGAGTGGGATTAAAGAACTGGTTGAATCAGGTTACCTGTCTGAGTGGGTCAACTGCTATATTGGAAGGCAGGGTCTGCAAAATATCTCAGGCACTGATCTTAGATTTTACAAGTGATGTTATTCCCAGGAGCAATGTGGGGAGGTTCAGACTCTTGCAGCCAGAGGCTGCATGGCTCCTAAACCGTAATTTCCAGTCTTGTAGCTAATTTGTTTGTCCTACAAAGGCAGACTGGTCCCCAGGCAAGAAGGGGTTTATTTCAGGGAAAGAGCTGTTATCTTTGTTTCAAACTTGAACTATAGGCCAGGCATGGTGGCTCACACCTGTAATCTCAGCACTTGGGGAAGCTGAGGCAGGCGGATCACTTGAGGCCAGGAGTTTGAGACCAGCCTGGCCAATGTGGTGAACCCCCGCCTCTACTAAAAATACAAAAATTAGCCAGGTGTGGTGGCACACACCTGTAATCCCAACTACTTGGGAGGCTGAGGCAGAAGAATCACTTGAACCTGGGAGGCAGAGATTCCAGTGAGCCAAGATTGCACTACTACACTCCATCTTTGGTGACAGAGTGAGACTCCGTCTCCAAAAACAAACAAAAAAAAAACCAAAATTGAACTATAAACTAAATTCCTCCCAAGGTTAGTTCAGCCTGTGCCCAGGAATGAACGAGGACAGCTTGGAGGTTAGAAGCAAGATGGAGTCAGGCCAGATCTCTTTCACTGTCACCATTTTCTGTTATAATTTTTGCAAATGTGTCTTCAGTCCTTGTATCCATAATACCTAGAAATTTGATAAATACTTGTTAAACAGCCAAAATGAATGTCCACGGCAAGAATCCACTGTTAGGCATGGTGGTGCACACCTGTAGTCCCAGCTACTCAGGAGGCTGAGCCAGGAGAATTAGCCAGGCATGGTGGTGCACACCTGTAGTCCCAGCTACTCAGGAGGCTGAGGTGGGAGGATCGCTTGAGCCCAGGAGGTGGAGGCTGCAGCAAGACATGATTGCACCACTGCATTCCAGCCTGGGCAAGAGTGGGACCCTGTCTCAGAAATAAGTAAGAGTCCTGACTGCGAGCTACAAAGAGTCCATCTGTGCTATAGGAGGCATCCACACAGCACACACCCACTGCTACCAGCTAAGCAGTTCATGCTGGCTGTGATAGATGACACTGTTCCTCTCTTTGGATGATTGGGGTTCACTACTATACTGCACAGGTCAGCAACAGCATGTACAGAAATGGACTGAGGCGGGAGACTCGTCAGTCCCTGGCATCTGAACATGGCCCACACTATGCCTTCTGTTTCATCCTCAGACTTTGGAGCTATTAGGGATTTAAATATTAATGTGCTGATTTCACTGAGCCCTGGCCTTTCTTTGGTGCCTGACAGGTACACTGTAACGAGAAATTAGATCGTTCATTCATCCCTTCCCCCTTCCCTTCCCTCTCCAGGGAACAGGGTTTTTGTTCTCGGAGCTTGGTGGGGTGGCAGAGTTCCCCAGCTAGAATCAAGTAACCTTTAGTGCATATGCAAATCCAGCATTTGAAATTTCTGGTTCTCTGTAGCCTTATTATTCTAGAGGGCAGCCAGCTTTCCTTTCATTTCATTTGGGGTCCGCTTCGCCTGCTTTGCACCTACTCTGGTGTGCAAGCTCGACACAGCCCCAAGAAGGCTGCGCCCCAGGAAGGAGCTCACCATGCTCTGAGAGTCATAAAGAAGGAAGCAGACCCTTGGCAGGAGAGAAAGGAAGGCCTGAGGCGGGTTGTGTTTGTGATGCAGATGCTCCTGCCAGCCGTGCAGCTCTCTGAAAGGGGGTGGAGCTGAGAAGCGACCCAGCGACCCAGCGAGGCTCCTGCAACCAGGGTCGGGAGGATTTCGCCTTCCTGGATGGGTATTGGTTCTCCAGACCTAGCTTTATTAAGTGCCAGCGAGTTACATGCACACAGATCACTCAGATTCCACAGACACCTCCCCAGCAGCCCCTAGCAGGACCATGGGAGGAGATTCATGCCGTTAGGCCTCTGTCCCCTGCGTGTGACATCTGCAGGGAAGGGCACTCCTAGCAACTGTCAGGGGACTAGCATAAACCCTTTTTGCTTCAGGGGTCTCTTCCCAGGTAATGGCCTCAGTCCTCTTTGCACCCTGGCCGGCTGCAGGAGCCTCCTAACTGCTCCCCTGTTGCGTCCTCACCCCCCACCCATTCTCCAGAAAGATCATGGCCTGGGCTTGCAGCCTTCTGGTGGCTTCCCGTGAAATCCCAGGTCCTTACCACAATCTGTGTGCTCTGTGGCCTGGCCCGGCCCCTGCCCATCCTTCCTCTTCAGTCGCTTCTCTGATGGCCACATGGCCTGTCCCCTCACTTCCCTCAGATGCCAGGGTTCCCTCACCCTCCAGTCCTGGCAGCCCTTTCCTCCCTTTGCTCAACAAAGTGCCCGAGAGCTATCTGCTCATGGCTGGTCTCCCCGACAAGACCACAGGCTCCCAAGGCAGCTGTGATGTCGTTTTGGTTTGCGCCGTATCCCTAGCTGCTAAAGCAATGTCTGGCAAGTAGTAGGTGTTCTAGAAAGGTGTATTGTGTTAATGTGAATACTGACTTCCCCTCCTCAGTCACTGAGGCGGGGAGGATGTTTGGCTCTTCTGAGGCATGTGAGAGTTGGTTGTGCCTTTGGTTTTTGTTTTTTGAGTCTCGCTCTGTTGCCCAGGCTGAAGTATAGTGGTCCATTCTTGGCTCACTGCAACCTCCGCCTCCCATGTTTAAGTGATTCTCCTGCCTCAGCCTCCCAAGTAGCTGGGATTACAGGCGTGCGCCACCATGCCCAGCTAGATTGTGCCTTTGTTAGGTTCTCTGTGACTTTTGTCCACCATGCCATTCCTGAAAGAAATCTTTTTTTTAAATTATAAGAATTACTAGAACTAGCTCGGCACTGTGGCGCGCAGTCTTTGTCTCAGCTAATTGAGAGGCTGAGGCTGGAGATTCACTCGAGTCCAGCCTGGGCAACATAGCAAGACCCTGTGTCCAAAGGGAAAAAAAGGCAAAATCAGAATTAGCAGAACTGATTTCACATGTGTAGGTAGCAGATGGTGGCCATGAAATTCAGGTCTGTCTGAAGGCCGCCAGGCCTGGTACAAAACTGCGTAAGGCCAGCACAAGGCCCGGGCAGGCTCCCAAGTGGCTGGACTGGAAGAGATGCTAAGTTCATGGCCTCCTGACTCCACCCAGCACTCCCTGGGCCCAGCGACATTCCTTCCTGAAGCCTGAAACTTCACCTCCACCTCAGGAAGCCATCTGCCTAGGGATAGGTTCTTGCAAACACGAAAACACTCATTTCCAGAGGCAATTAATTCTTTAGAAGTATGTCGGATTTTTGGTACAAAATCATGGTTTCCATGTTGGCTTCATGCTCGGTGCTTTATGAGAAAAATCCCTTTTCTCTGCGGTTCTGTTCATTGTATTGTAAACCAATCATAGATTATTTTAAGGTTTTGAGTTAGAGTGTTTATCCAGTTTTATGAGGGAAATAAAGGAATTCCACGATGAGAAAAATGGGGGATTTCCTGCAGGGCTCGGGGTTGCGGGAGCAGCAGGTAACCTGATTCATTAACCTGAGCCCAGCGGGATTGGTGGGGGTGATGGGGACACAGATTAGGGCACTCGACTCAGGCACAGGACCCCGGCAGAACATGCCCAGGTGCTCCTAGACATGGGCCCTTGCAGACTTTGAGGCCTCGGTTTCCTCATCTTTCCAAGGTGTGACCCCAACCATCATCTCCTGAGCTTTTGGCCACAGAGCTCTGCGCAGGCTTCCACCATGACCCCATTTTGGAGACAGGGAGTTGCCGCAGCCACACTGCTGCTCAGTGGTAGAACCAGCATCTGACCCAGGCCACCTGGGGCCTCCAGAGGCCCTGCTCTTAGCCAGCAGCTCAGACCCCAGTCATGTGGGGCCATTTATTTATTTTTAAGATAGTCTGCCAGGCTCTATCTAAGATAGAGCACTCCCGGAGTGCAGTGGCGCGATCTCGGCTCACTGCAACCTCGACCTCTTGAGTTCAAGCAATTCTCCTGCCTCAGCCTCCCGAGCAGCTGGGATTACAGACGTGCACCACCACACCCAGCTAATTTTTGTATTTTAAGTAGAAATGGAGTTTTGCCATGTTGGCCAGGCTGGTCTCGAACTCCTGACCTCAGGTGATCCACCCCTCTCAGCCTCCCAAGTGCTGGGATTACAGGTATGAGCCACCACACCCGGCCCACGTGGGGCCGTTTAAATTAAAATCAAATCGAGTTCCTCCATTGCATTGGCCACGTTTCAAGTGTGCAGAGTGACACATGGCCAGTGGCTGCCATCACCACTGATGTCGCCACGTCCTTCATCACAGGAAGATCCCTGGCAGCCCTGCTCCCCACCCTCTGCCCTCCTGACGCTCCCTTGTGACTTGTTACAAAAGTGTGGGCACAGCTAAAAAAAAAAAAAAAAACTGATGCCTGTGAGAATACTGTCACTCGCTGATGCCTTCTGTATAGAAAAATAAGCCTTAGACAGATCTTCACAAGAACGTCGTGATACTTCTAGGCATAATTACGTGTTCCAAGCCAAACTGCAGTTCAAGAGAAGGTTATAAATCTCAATAACAATTGTACTCATGTTCCTCTCCTGGAAACTAAGAGGAAGGTAGCTGAAGAAATTCTCCCTGCCCAGTTAAATCTTGTTTTTTGGGTACTTTTGGGTTCCAGGGTCACATCAGCAATGGCCCAGGACAAACGAGGGGGAGCCTTCATCTGTATTTTGTGTCTTTCCAGGGTGGCAATGACCATGAGATCTTCACAGACCCCAGGACCGTGGGCTACTCCGTGACAGCGCCTGAGGACACATGCAGGATCTGTGAAGAGCTCTTCTCCTAACGCGGGAACAGGAGGGTAGGGTCCTGGCTGAGAAGCCAGCATGGGGCATTTGGTGGCCAGAGCTGAGGGTCCTCCCACACGTGCTCACCCACCCGCAGCCCAACCAGGCTCTGCATCCTTTGCCAGGCACATGCAGTCTGGACCTCCACCCCTGGCATGCCTTGCCTCCATCTCCAGTGCCAGAAGCTTCCAGAAGGAAGGAGAAAACTATTGTCAAGAATGGTTCAGAGGAATACCTCCCACAAAAGGTCTTCCCCACCCACCCTCAGCCCCCTAATCTAACACCCTGATACGTGCAATCATGTGGTTTTGGCGGAAATTTCCCCATAATTCTAGGATGATACAGAAAGAAAAAATGTGCCTGGGCCCTCCCTCTTGGTGGGTCTGTGGAATCGTAAGCGGTTTTTTAATGGACCCCTGCATCAGCACCAACAGTGGGGGTTTGGTAATGAGAAACAATGACAGGCCATCTGCAGTGACCCACCCCAGGACGAAATTGACAAACACCTGGAACGAAGCTCCCGCCTGCATGTCACCTTGATGGGGACTGTGAGCAGGACAGTGTTATGCCCAGTGACTAGACGCACTCTGCGTTTTCCCGTGTGAGGCTGAGGCCTGCTGGACAGATGGCTGGCCGAGTGGGAGCAGACCCTAGGGAGTTTGCACCTCAGCTGGGCCGGAGAGTTGATGCTGGCAAAACAGTCACCCAGGTCCAGAGAAACCAATGTGGGATGTCAGACTTCATCAAAACGACCTTCTGGTTGGCCCTGGCTGGCTTCCCAGAGGCGTTCGCCTCTAGTTTCTCAGGGATCGAGCAAGAGCCTGGCCAGGGAACAGGAAGAGGAGCCGCTCTCCTATCTGCGCCCACCCAGGCCCTCACCCAGACTTTACAACTGAGGGGGCCGAGTGCAGCTGCAGCCAGGTCTGCGTCCCTCACGCTTTCCACCTTCTGCACGTTCTTTGTGAAACTGGAAGGATCCCAGGCTTCAGCCAGAACACGGTGGAAGAGAACTTTCTAGGAAAACGGTTCATGTGTCATTTTTCAGGATGTGGAAATGCTGGGACCCATAGACCCTCCATTACTTGGTGCTGGGGCGGTGTGGCCTCACTGGGCACTGAATCTAGGGCCAGGGGGGCCCAGACTGCCCTGCACTTCTGCCTCCCAGCCCACAGCCAGGCGCTTTCATCACAGCTCAACCTGGTTCCCTCCAAACCTCCCAGCCACTCAAGCTCTCTTGAGCCCCGGATCCAGTGGGGTGAAAGCAGCCAGTTCCTCATCTCGGTGACTTGCAGGACATGGCCATCCAGTGGCATCTTTCCTTGTTGAATGTTGCAAATGATACGGTAATGACCTTCCAAAATGGTTAGTACATTAAAGTGATTTTATTTCCTGTTTCTCATTCTGATTCCTTTTTCCTCCTGTTTGCAGATTCTGGAAGGGAACCCCAGCCCTTCTAGGTCTGAGAGCCACTCTTTCATTGCTCCAGATTTCTGTCCCGTCGGGGCCCCTCCCTCTGTGGAGATGCATGTTCCTGTTCCTGACACACAGACTCCTCCCCCGCTACTTTTCTGCCCACTGGGTATTCCTTACAAGCCTGCCATTCCTTACAAGTTTCCTTAACATAGTGCGTCAAAGCGAGACAACTGAGTCTTACTCAAACTTGTTTTAACCGGAAATAGAGGGTCGCTGCTGTGTCCCCACACACAGGGCTGCCCTCAGGTGGGTACCCTGAGTCCGCCAAGCTGGGCCCTGATGCGCAGAGGCCTGGGCCGTTCCTGCCCCAGTTCCCACAGTGGCTGCTTCAGACCCTCCCCAGGCCCCTGGAGCCCCCTCCTGCACTGCCTGCTGCCTCCCTCTGCGGTCAGAATCGACACTCCCCTCCAGACTCAAAAGGACTTGGAACTTCCCCTTTCCTTCCACCTTGTCATCGCGTTGCAGCCCAGGCCAGCTTCCTGGGGTTACTCCAAGGGTGTCCGCTTGTCAGGCACTGTGGTGGGATGTAAAGTGTTAACAACTAAATGATGCATGCACAGCGCGTCCTGGTGCCTTCCACGTGTCCCCAGAGCAGCAGGTTCTGCACGTGGCAGGTAAGAGCACGGCTGCCAAGGCTCCAAGCCTAGTTCTGCTGGTACAAGCTGCTGCGTGACTTACGGTGAGTTCCTCTTCGCCCCAGTTAGTTCATGTGTCAAATGGTATAGTCCTTACCGTGTATGGAATTTAAAGCACTTTGAACAGTGAGTGTGAGCCATTACTAACTCAAATAATACCCCCGCCCCCTGCAACCCAGAACCCTATAAAGCAGGGACAGCCCCCTCTCTCTGCTTTAGGGGGTTAGCAGGATAAAGACACCATCACAAGAAATTTAAACACAGTAGGTAAGTTTTAAGCCAGAGCAAAGCACAGAGGTTGCACCTAGGCCAGCCTAGCACTATTGAAAGTCACCATCCCCAGCACTGCAGAAGCTGACCCTGAACTCAAGGTCAGGGCTTAAGCCTCAGGGAAAAGGCCCGCGTTGAACCTGAGCGGCCGGGAGTGCAGGGCAGGCCTCTGGCTCCCTGGAAGGAGAGAGGCTAGCTGGGAAGTTGAGCTTGAACCTGATCCCAAGGGAAGGGCGTGGGGCCCGTTCATGATCTGTCCGGGAAGGGCCCTCCAGCTACTGGAAGGGGAGTGCCCCATAGGGGCCAGAAGAAGAACCAGTTGGACAGTTGGGCAGATGTTGCTGTAATCCGGACACATTCAGGCATACGTGGCTTTGAATCACTTCCTCTCCACGGGCTGCCTCCTCTCCCCTCCATCCCAAGTGTTCTGGCTGTGGGCCCCAGCTGGCCACCTCAGCCCAGGCAGGCTCCTCCAACCCGAACGACAGGTAACCTCCACACTGCCCGCCGCCACACACTGCCCGCCGCTCCACGCTGCCCGCCACGGCACGCTGCCCGCCGCTCCACGCTCCCAGCCACTCCACGCTGCCCGCCACTCCACGCTGCCCGCCACTCCACGCTGCCCGCCACTCCACGCTCCCAGCCACTCCACACTGCCCGCCACGGCACGCTGCCCGCCACTCCACGCTGCCCGCCACTCCACGCTCCCAGCCACTCCACACTGCCCGCCACGGCACGCTGCCCGCCACTCCACACTGCCCGCCACAGCACCCCAAAGTCAAGACCTAGAACTCATTCCACCTCCCTCACCGGAGGCTGCTTTCCCAAACGTCTTCAGTTTTGGTTTTCATTGTTGCTATTGTTGTTTTTGAGACGGAGTCACTGTTGTTGCCCAGGCTGGAATGCAATGGCGAGGTCTTGGCTCACTGCAACCTCCGCCTCCCCACTTCAAACCATTCTGCCTCAGCTTCCCGAGTAGCTGAGATTACAGGCGCCCGCCACCACGCCCAGCTAATTTTTGTCTTTTTAGTAGAGACCAGGTTTCACCATGTTGGTCAGGCTGGTCTCAAACTCCTGACCTCAGGTGATCCACCTACCTTGGCCTCTCAAAGTGCTGGGATTACAGGCATGAGCCACCACGCCCGGCCTTTTTTTTTGTTTTTTTGAGACGGAGTCTCGCTCTGTTATCCAGGCTGGAGTACAGTGGCAGAATCTCAGCTTGCTGCAACTTCTGTCTCCAGGTTCAAGCGATTCTCCTGCCTCAGCCTCCCAAGTAGCAGGGATTACAGGTGTGCGCCACCACACCCAGCTAATCTTTGTATTTTTAGTAGAGATGGGGTTTCACTATGTTGCCTAGGCTGGTCTTGAACTCCTGAACCTCAAGTGATCTGCTCACCTTGGCCTCCCAAAGTGCTGAGATTACAGGTGTGAGCCACTGCACCCGGCTGTAATTTTTGCATTTTTAGTAGAGATAGCATTTCACCATGTTGGCCAGGCTGATCTCGAACTCCTGACCTCAAGTGATCTGCCCACCTCAGCCTCCCAAAGTGCTGGGATTACAGGCGTGAGCCACTGTGCCCAGCCCCCACCTTCAGCTTTTGCTGAACCCTTCCTTGTGCCACCCATGTAGTACTCCGTATAGTAAGTCAGCAAATCTCATTGTTTTGAGCTAAGTGCCTACGTTAGCCTCTCCCTAAACAGGTTTGATGGGCTGGTTTTTCCCCAATATGCTTTGGAAATCATTGTATAATACTGACAAGAAAAATGCCCATCTCTGCACCACCCAAAATCACTGCCTTCCCTTGGGAGACACCGGCCAGAGCAAATTCCCAGCAGAGCACAGCAACCCCGCAGAGTGGCCCCTGCCCATCACTGCTCTCCTGGAAATCAAAACAGGAGTTCTCACACCCGCCCACCTTCTGCCCTCACTCCCACTGCTCCAACAGCAAACAAACCCTTCCCCCCCCCGCTATGGACCCTGAAAAGCTATATCCATCCTAGGACTCTCATGCCAGCCCCGGGCCCTCAAGCCTCATCTGCTTCCAGCCCCTGACTTCATGCCTGAAGAACAGCAAGTTTTTTTTTTTTTTTTTTGAGACTGGGTGTCACTGTCACCCAGGCTGGAATGCAGTGGTACAATCACAGCTCACTGCAGCCTCAAATTCCTGGACTCCAGCAATCCTCCCACCTCAGCCTCTAGAGTAACTGGGACCACAGGCTCACACCACCATGCCCAGCTAATTGTATATATATTTTTTTTTTGGTAAGACCAGGTTTCACCATGATGCCCAGGCTGGTCTCAAACTCAGCTCAAGCCATCCACCTGCCTCGGCCTCTCAAAATGCTGGGATTACAGGTGTGAGCCACCGTGCCCAGCCTAGCAAATATTCATCAAATGTCTATAGCAGTGGCCGGGCGCTGTGGCTCACACCTGTAGTCCCAGCACTGCGGGAGGCTGAGGCAGGAGGATGGTCTGAGTACAGGAGTTCGAGACCAACTTGGACAATGTAGCAAGATGCTCTCTACAAAAAAATTTAAAAATTAGCCAGGCATGGTGGCATATGCCTGTAGTCCCAGCTACTCAGGAGGCTGAAGGAGGATCGCTTGAGCCCACGAGGTTAAGGCTGCAGGGCAGCCTTGTCTCAAAAACAAACACCACCTCTACAGCAGCAATGAGCCAGGGACTGTGGACAGTGCACCCCCAGGCCGGTCCCCTCTTCCCACAGGTGTATCATGGGAGTAAGGTGTAACTCACACAACATCCTAAAAGCTTCAACAGGGCACTGGACAGCTGCTGACCAAGTTAGTGGCATTTTCTGTTGCCAGGAAGCTGCATTCTCCTTCCTGCTAAGCTTTCTCATGCTACAGAATGATGACTAAAGAAAAACAGATGATCCCATCTTCTTATTCATCACCCCCTAAAAAAACAGACTGCCAAGTGGAATGTGTCAGCCTCACCCGGGGGAGACACCCTCACCTGACGACTTAAAAGGAAAAACCTGGTGAGCCAGCCTCCACACAAACACACGCACTGCCTTACACAAAACAAAACTTTATTGGGAGAAAGACGGCTGATGGGAGGCAAGATCTGGATTCAGGAATCCTCAGTTCTAGCTATTCCTCGGTCAGCAACAACCTCCGTCCCTCCCAGAGCCTCCAGGAGTTTCCCCTTCTATAAACTGGTATTGCATCCCTTCCAGCTGTGACATCCTGCCGTTCTAGAATACCCACTGACTGAAAGAGCTGTGGCCAAACAGGAAGGACAGAGCAAGAGCCGTTGACAAAGGATTCTGCCGAGACAG